TTTCAAATACAACCTATCGCATTTGTACAACGAATGCAACACAATAATTTGAAATATTTATGGAAATGATGAGAGTTCATTTATTATGATTTAAATATTTATGGAAGATAAATACGGTTTATTAATTATGATTAATAATTTATATTAGGAAATAATCAAAAACTTCTATAAATCACATATTAATCAAATGAAATTGACGGTTGAGATTAGATTGTATTGGTTGCACAAATATAAGGGTTGTATAATAACCAACTTATATATATATATATATATATATATGTATATATATATATATACCCCATCCCATATTTACATAAAATATACATATTTCATATAAAATGAAATACAAATAACATACATTGGTCTCAAATATACACATTGTTACTTGCAAAAGTGGCTAGAAACTTTTTCTCACAAGTTATATGACTTGAATATAATAATTCACAGTTCATGTATTACACAGTTTCTATAAAATTCGGGTTCATCATATAAACAGATGTAAAACTATAACACTTTCAACTCGCATCTTCCCCTTCTCTTATCTTCTGGATGTGATCGACATGTAATGCACATTTTTTAAAACAAAAGTGGGTTAGACCATAAGGTCTAGTGAGCAATCCCTTGATAACTATTACAGGGTGAGAAGCACCAAAACAGTTTTGGAATCATGTAAGAAATATAAGAAGAGATCTAAACTTTTGATCACTTTTAATCTTATGTTCACCCTTGGAATTGCTCTTTAAAAGAGAATTGACCTGGTGCATCTCGGTGCACTTCATTAATGTTGACATTCAATTAAGATTGATCCAAGGATGGAGAGCTTTAAGGTTCACACCATAACTTCCCTTTCACCGGAACTCAACCTCATATATATATATATATATATATATATATATATATATATATATATATATACACCATATTATAAAACATTTGACAAAAACTCTTAGAAATCATTTTTTATGCAAGAAGTTTTTGTTTATTAATACATATAACTTAAAATTAAAGATTACAAAATAAATTGTGTGTTGGTACAAATTAAGAAAGCTTATGTTTAAATTCGTGTAACTAACTAGATAAACATAATCAAATGCACGATAAACAACTCATTTTAAATATAAAAATCTAAAATATAATTAGAATAATCATTGAATTCTAACAGAATACGTAATTATTATTTTTATAAAAAATTATATTATTAAATAAAAAATAAATTAGTTCGTTATTAAACCTAAATTAAATTATAATAAAAAAATGAATTAAAGAAATTACACAAAAGAAGAGAATTCTTAAATAGTTAATTTGATACCAATATCGATATTCTTTTTTCAAATTTATATTTCTTTCAATATCGTTTCCTCAAAACCACATAAAATCGTATTATATCGACAAAGCCCAATAATAAAATAAAACATCAAAATCAAGATGTATCTCGCTGCATTACACGAATATCCTTCTAGTATGTATGTATGTATGTATATATATATATATATATATATATATATGATCTTTTAAAAACTCTCTAAATTGTAAGATCTTTAAAAATCATGTGTTATTTTATATAAATTTTTTAATCTATGACTAGAATTTAATATAATAATTAAGATCCAGCCTTCTTATATATTGTTTCCACAAAAATATATTAATTTCACGTTTAAATAAAAGAAAAAACTTTGTAGAGAAAGTGTGTAAAACAAGATGAAACAGACGTATATTTTACTAATATAACCTTAAAAACTTAATTCTCTTCTAAAACAACAAACATTATTTAATAAATATTAATAAAAAAAAGTAATACATAAAATGTATAATTTTAATCGTCTTGACAAAAAACTTTATAATCATATATTTTGTTATAAAAATATTTATTTATATATTTATAATTTAATAAATTACATAAATTAATCAAAGTATATAAAAAATATAAACAACTCGTTAGAAGATAAACCGGTTATTTTATATATTATGTTCAGTTCAGTTCTTTTTTGCTACACGCTAAACAATTATTCAGTCATCTCTTACTGTCTGGATACTAAACGTACCTTTATACTCATATTTATTTATAAATACGATTATAATCAAATTTATTTTATTAAAATAGAAAAAAAAATTATATATATATATAGATATATATAAATTCAATAATGAGTTTAATAATATTAAATTTTACTGGTTATAAAAATTTACACAATGGAACTATAACTATACCCCAATCTTAAGGGCAGAACCATACAATCCAACTCGATTAATGTCAATGCTGACCTGTCATTTGACCGCCACTTCCCGACCGCCACCTAAGCTGCCACTGCTTCCGTCACCGACTTGGTCAGAATACCCGATACCTGACCCAAGTGAAGCCATTTCGTTTTGTAGGTCCCAGCTTCCGCTCCTCCTTCCCCAGCTAGACAAGCGCGGATGAAGGTGGCTATCACCGCCGTTAGTGCCGCCGGTGTCCCCGGCGGTGGCCTCGTTCTTCCAGATAGGCTTCCCGTTACCTATTTCGATATCGCTCGGAACTTTCTCGGGAGTTGAGTTTACGTAATTACCACCAGTGGCTCTAGTTGGAGGGTTGGGATCTCTCTGCACCAATGCCCTGAA